CTAATGTATTTCAAAGTCCCCACACCTTAGCTTCTTCACTTGAGTGAGTACGTTTTGCTCTTCTAAAGCCTCATTGACAATCACCGCCATTCCCTCGAGCTGGTGCAGTTCTTTGTGGCAGTGAAGAAACCACTCGCCGGGGTTATCAGATAGGAAATTTATAACAACGTATCCCCCAGCAGGGACCATAACTGTGTCTTTCCTGATCGTATAGCTGTCGATGGTAAAATTCATTTCACTTGGTTCATTCCATCTTGGCATTGTACATCTTTCCGGGTCACAGTCCTCTTCAGTGCAGTCGACATCATCGCAGGCTATGTCGCCGTTGGAGTTTATGATATAACCAGTTATGGGGTTATATGTTGGATATCCAACGTGAACAACATGAAATGTATGGCTATGGAGATGAATTGGATGAGCACTGGGGGTAGGACCAATTGATGAAAACACCATTTGAATAGTTTCGTTGTATGGAATGTCTATCACGTGGACACAGGAGCAGTCGGGTGTTGATGGATTGCAATCAGCTCTAAGGCTACAGATGTTGTCCCTTTCTTGAAAGCCTTCATATTGGGTTTGGGGTGGGAAGGAGGGAAGAATGAAATTGCGTCCATTCACTGACATGGTCTGTTTTTCCCCGTCGAAATGAAAGTTGAGAAAATGTCTACACTTTACGCCTTCAAATCCGGTTTTAGGGTTTACATTTGGAAGCTCCTCAAGCGGAGTTGGCTCCAGTAAACTGAAGTTGTGTACATTAATACAGTTTATGTTGTAGGATTCATGAAAGTTCTCAAAAGGGCAGTTCACTGCGTTGCATGTCTCCTGTTGAGTGCACTCTCTGACCGGAGAACTGTCTTTTATGTCTTGATATGTTGTCGACGGTACATTATCATCTGGATTATCCGAGTCCCCAAACATTTTGTAATGCAAAATAGCTTCTGCCACATGTCCCAGTGACTCATAGGGTGGCCCGGTAGTTTGATTAATTTCCATAGTCTCTGCGTGCATCCAGTAGTCGTTACTTGTCGCATCTGCTTCGAGCAGAAAGTCATATCTTTCTCCGGGATGGATCATGATGTAATCAACCTCTTCCTCGGGATTAATCCAATAATCATCAGCGCCCACCACGGTTAGCTTATGACCATCAATGGAGAAGCTGTAAGAATAAAGTGATTGAGCCCCAATTAGCCGAAAGCGATAAATCTCTCCGGACTCAACAGTGAATATACTCAGTCTTGTTTTGTGGTATGGAACATCAACATGCCTGCCTTTGCCATTTACGATTCCAGAAAAGTACGGGACAGGCCCAGCCCTTCCATTGTCAAAACTGCGAGTGCCTTGATACTGTGGATCATTTGGTGCTGGTACCTCGCCAAGCGGCGTGTCTGGATAGAAGCCTAAGTCTGCCTGGGCCTGGGTGAATAGATCCAAGGATGCCTCATGCTGCCAGTCCAGAAGAGTTAAGGTGTGCTGACCTGGAAGATCTATAAATTCACGGTATTGCTCAGGAAGTTCCCATCGGATTCCAGTTATTCTGTCGAGGCTTTCTTTGACTATGAGAGCGTCATAGAAGCCATCTGTTCTTTGAGCACCACTGTGAGAGTGGTACCAAAATGTCCCAGCTGGCCTTGCAGTGTACTCGTATGAAAAGCTCGACGAGGGTCCTATCTGACATTGAGTCACTTGTCCCACACCATCCATCCAAGGTGTTCCCCTCTGGTGCATCCCATGCCAATGAATTGAAATTCCTTCAGTGGTAAGGTTGTTATGAACATGAATCACAGCCTCTTGTTCTTCGTGGACAATCAACGTAGGTCCAGGAATTTGTCCATTGACGGCTATTGCCAAACGGTACGTTTTACCATCTACGAACTGGGGGTTAATGCATTTGGAGCTGGCCAATGTTGAACAATTTTGATTGGTTTGTAGTGGCTGAGGTGTTCCAAAATCATCGAAATAATAGATCACTCCTTGGGATCGCGCATAGCTATTCCTGTAGGTTCATCCACCGAAAACTTCTGATAGCTGGTGAAGGTTCGAATTTCGTCAATTTCAAGGTTAAATGTACAGACGGCTGCATATCTCATGCGTTCACAAGTTGGATTACCGTATTCACAATTGACGGTTTCTTCAAGTGCCCATGTTAGATTAATGACTTCCTCTTCTTAGCACCAAACGGCTTGTTAAGGTGTGGATCACTTGTCAGGTCCATGTACCCCACTTCACCAGTCTTAAAAGAAGTGCTAAATGATTCTATGTACCACCTTTTGTTTCCTCGAGGATGAGCTTGTAGGTAAACTTCCTTAATGTCGGATATCGAGACGCACTCTGTGGTCCTAAACCAGCTTCGGAAGTTCAGCTCTCGTGTATAGGTTTTTTTTGATTGAGTAGGTCCTTCAAGTTCTGCTTGAAGGTATTGGTCGTGTAATCGGATACCTAAAAAGTAGGTTTCCGAGGAATGAGCTCGTCTGATGTCTCCAGTCATTGTATCTACTCGTAT